ATTTTGCTTCTGGTATAACACCATAAAGTAAAGAGCTCTCAAGCTCAGGGAGCAGAATGTCTATTTCTGGATGTTGTAAGACATAAAAGGTCACAAAGTTGACATCTTCCTTAACCACTTGAGTGCTGCATCAACTCATATGAAACAGGAATGCTAGAAGATGGTATCCAAACTGAAATAAGCACTTATTTCCCCCTGATCTCAATGTGATTTCAGACTGCTCTGAATCATAGTTATGGAAGAAATGCTTTTGGGCTTCTCCAAAACAGTGAGTAGACAGGCTTTATAGAAGTACAGAACTTGATAGTCACATAAAAACAGTGGGGAAATGGGGGAGAGAAAAACACCTGCAATATGTGCAGGCACTGGGTCATTTTAGCCAGCGGAGAAAAAGGATCATAAGAGAAAAAAGATTCATGAAGTTGCTGCTGAGTCAATAGGGTTTTAAAGTGTTTCCTCATATATTTAGACAAAAGGATTTACTGTATTATTTTCCTTTGTAATATCACAACATACTGAGAACAGTCTTGCTATATGCAAAATGTCAAAGTATGTAAAACAATATTTAAGTAGATACTTTCCCTTCAAAGTTGACTAATTTTCAATTAGTGATTAAAATGGCTTTCAACTGAGAACATGACAGAGCTTGAAGCTTTGGAATATCTCTGATTTCATTGTAATTTCATTTTTTGATGTGCTACAGCATTTCAGCAACATTTGCAAGATTAGTCCTCCTGGAATTTTCCATTAGTTACTTGCTGGAATTTTCCAATAGGGAGGAACAAGGATTGTGTTATTTAAGAAAAGAAATTCGTGGTACTACTTCCTGGGAGCAAACCTGAGGGGTTATCTTTTCCTGTAGTCAAGTCTATCTGTCTGCCTGCGTCCCCCCGTCCTGTCTTTTCATCCTTTTAAATCAAAATAAGGTACTTAGTGAAATATCGCAGGGCAATATTTTGCTTGTTTCTAGTAGTGCATTCGGCCATAACAGTAGCAGCAATAACATAGAGTAAAAGCATGACTCTGTTCCAACTGACATCAAAAAGATATTTGGAGACTTAAAAGGCTTTCTCCTGAAAAAGGACCTCAAAAAATAAAATTATTGCAACTGCATTATAGCTGTAATCGTAAACAAACACTTTCTTGGTACTGTTCTTTTGAAATACTTATTTCTGCTACATGCTGAAAATCTTGGCTTTTATATAACAGTGTAGATGTATTTACTCTTGCAGATTAATTGTTCTCTTGTTGGTATTTCATGTGACAGAGTTGCCACGAATGAATTACAGAAACTTACTGAATGCAAGCTTCATGAATGAGAAAAATTATGTAAATAACACAAACTCATTTATAATGTGTGCGAATCAGCTCCTTGAGGTGCAGGATTGTATGTAAGGACTCATAAAAAAAAAGGAAATAAACATTATCAACTTAAAGACTTAGTCATGTAAATAAAATATAGTATGTTATAAAACCAGCTTCTACTAGATTTACATTTTAAGTAGCAGAATATATTAGGAAAACATGCAGAAATGGGAGGGTTTTTTGCTGAGGGAGATAGAGACTCATAAAAAACTCAGTGAAATGAAAGCATTTCTTCTTTCAAGGAAACAGTCCAGAAGATAATTTTAAATAGTCTTTTGATGTTCATAAGTCTTTAGCTCATACACAAAATCAGCCTGATTTTCTCCCAAAAACTCAACTGACTAATTTAAGCTCCTTTGGTGATTTAGCAGGAGCCATTTTATTCCATTTAAAAATCATTGCAACACAATTTTCATTTAATGCATTATCAGAAGGAAGATGATTTTTAATCAGTTTTCAGGCAGAATTCATCTACAATACTATGTAATAAAATGCTCTTATCCCTGTTAACACAGCTTATTTTTTTTTAAAAAAATATCTTTTACAGAGATATAAATGGTTTGGGAAAAGGAAGAAAATATGAATTTTGTTATTTATATCCTGACAGTTTATTTCACTCTCCATTTTTAGAGATTGTCACCAACAAACTAGTAAAGCCTTCATAGTTATATGAAGAATTTCTTCTTTTCTATAAGAGAAGATGCTTCTGTTGCAACTACTGATAACATATTTAATATTATCCAACATTAGATAATTTATAAATGGATTCGGTACTTTTCTGACAAGGTAATTGAGGTAAACAGAAACTTAATAACTTACCTCAATTAGGAGCTATTACCTTTTCCATCACTGTCCACCCCAGTATCAAAATGCAGGAAAAATATAAATGATAAGAAAGATGAAAAGGCAATACACTGATGAATAGAGAACAAAAAATGTGACTAAAAAAACTGTTAAGCAGTTCAAAAGTGTGATTTATAAATATAAAAAAACAACTTTGGAGAGAATAAAGATGGTGTAATGCAAAAGCAGTGAATGTGAAGTGCACAGGATGCATAATTTTTAGGCACACTGAAATTGCAAATAGGAGTATGTACGCTAGTGCATTTTGAATAAGTCTTTCTTTCTAGAACAACAAATCCTATAAAAACATTGAAAGCTCTAATGCATTAAAGCATACATATGGAAATCTTTTACATTTTTCATACTGAAACATTTCAGGCTGAAAAGATGACAAAGTGATTTGGTTTTTTTTTTTTTCCCCTGCATATTTTCTAATACACAATTTAGAAGGCTGTATTAACACAATAAATATTTGTATAGAGCTGTGTAGAATATTGCAGATGAACTAAAAGCTACTCCCTAAACACCATGTCCTTGGTAAATGAGATAGGATTCTTCCTGCTAGGCCTTTGCAGAAATATTCCCCAAGGGAAACCTGTCCTGCTGCTTATTGCAACAGCTGTGCTGAGTATTGTTATCTCAGATATAGCTGTGGATTTGCACATGAAAGATATACAACACATGGTTTTCTGAAAATACTTAGCTGACTGTTTCAGAGAATTCCTTCCTTACTGATTTCTTATGATAGAGAGAGTGTCCCCATGGTCTCTTCTTCTTAAGAGAGGAACTAACTCCATCGTATAAGAAAATACAACACATCAGAGGCACACCCTACTGAGAGATTCTGTGAATCTCCCTAGACATCAGTGTTTGATAGATAAAGCAAAATGTTCTCATGGAACATCTGAGGACTTAACAACTTTGATTAGATAGTATCCCACTGAATAAGAGCAGAAGGACTGGCCACAAGACTTTTAACCCTCTTCCCAGTGGAACAACATTGTGTTTTCATAAAAAAAAACTAACCAAGTCATACAGTCATAAATAAAACTGGAAAAGAGAGAAAATTGGTAGGATCGAGAGGGTCCAAGAAATACAGATTGAAATTCCAAAGATAATTTAAATTTAGTCATATTCCTCATATGCTTTATTTAATTTGTTTAAATTTAACTTCTTTACATTTGTATATTGCCTAATGAAAATTCTTCATACATCATTTGATCGTGGAAATCCTGAACCGCTACAACATTTAACTGACTAAAGTATTAAGAGTAAATACTGAAGCCTATAGCTGAAATTCACACTTCTCAGACCATTTCCATAGGGATAAAAGTACGTGCAAACATCTGGAAATTACTCAGAAAAAGGAAACATTTTTGTCTGCTGTTTATAAACATTTCTGATCTGAACATGCAGCTATTAAAACAGTAATTTCACAATCAGGTTATAGCTGTCTTGTTTCTCTCAGAAAACATTCAGAAATAAGTGTGAACACAAACAAGGATTTAAGAAATATATGTAGACTATATTACTATCAGGCATTTCTATGAGCATCAATTCACACAAAAAGAATTACAGAATACGCAGAAATACCAAGGTATCCTTGCATTCTTTCAAAGACAACGTTTTTCCTGGCACATCCTGGTAAAGTCACAAAGAATATGAAGTTTCTTCTTTTAGAGAATGAAGTTACATAAGAGGAACTAGCAAGGTATCTGAAGAGCAAAATAGATCTTCAGATTGCAGTTATTTAGTACTCTACATTCTCTGAACAATAACCTCTTACCCAACAGAAAGCAGAATGGTTGCACATAATTTTTACTCCACAAAATGACAGTAATTAGCATAACATTTTCAGAAGACCAGTAAAAAAAAAGGTCACCAGTTTCCCATTTTCTCTTGCTCATTAATTGCTAATAGATGAGGTCTAGTTCAGGTAAACAAGAGAAGAGAGAACAGAGAACAAACAGAACTTTATAAAAGAGAAGTAGGACTAAAAGCTACAATTAAAACTACTATTATTTTTTTTCACAAAATAGAGAACCTCCCTGCAGCACACTGAGATTAATCAATTACTTGCTCAAATTGCACTTCAAAGAGTTGGTTGTTGCTTTCACAGGCACAGAACACGGCAGGTATGTCAAACTACAAAAACTTCCTAAAATAGTTCCAAAACTTGCTTTAGCAGAAGAGAAAGTGCAGAAGGAAATTATTTCACATACACAGATACAAGGCCTACTAGAACTTCCTCGTCAGGAAAAGGGTGTTTCTGCACTACTGCAAAACTGCCACGTGTTATATAACAAGGAAATTTAATTCTGGGCAAATTTCTTCATACAGACCGATAGAAGCAAATAAATTTTTAATAAAATCTTACCAACTGCCAACTCTATGCCTCACTCTGACAAATAAAGAAATTAAAAATACGGAGTACTACACCTGCTGTTTCTCCAGTCATAGTAAGTCAGTCACTGTCCACAGTCCATACCTATCTTTAGCTTGAAAAAGCACTGAATTATTAATGTTTATTCTGGGAGAAAGAAGGAAATTTTCTTGTTTAATGATGTCTCACAGGGGAAGGATTATATAACGCTCAAAAACGTACCCTGGAGAGAAACAGTGCCTTAACATCTTATGAACCTAAGTTCATTACTACAGTAAAAGGCCATCTCTATCCTGGAGCAATATCATATAAACATCATTTTTTTCATTAGTGAAACATCCAGTTATCCAAATCACTTTTAGATCATTAGAAAGATTGTTATTGACTTTTCAATAGACCTACACTTTACCTTGGACATGAAGCTTCAGGTTTTCCATTAAATAAAGGTGACAACATACTTACTTTTCTGTCTGGCCAATTATATTTTGCAAATATTGTATCATATGTGTCCACAGCCCCGTCAGTGATCAACATTATGGCTTGGCTGCAAATGCTTCCTTGTCCTGTGTGATTGAACTGTGAAAGGAAACAATCATGAGGTACAGCACATTCCTGTTAAATGAAGACAGACAGGATCACACTGAATAAACAGGTATCTTGTGAAATCTCTAGTATTATTAGTAGTAGATGAAAATATTCAGGCTGAAAACAGTTTATCATAGATATTATGTTCTTAGTGAATTGAAAAATAAGAAACACCCCCAAATACAGCACTTCCCCAAACTGAAACTGTATTCCCCTGTTTTAGGTAGATGATAAGTATCGATGCATCTATAGAGGGTTTGCGTTGATTTAAATGTCATTTTAAAAGCACAAGTTAAGAAAGAAGTAATGAATGACTGAGGATTCGTCTGCAAAGTAAAGAAGATACACAACTCAGAGAGACATATGGCATTCAGATTCACTCAGGATTACATTCCATATGTTATTTTCTATAAAATATTTCTCTGGGAGAACCAAGTTCTTATTTATATATTTTGAGATTCTCCTCTTGCCCAAAATGAATATATAAAAGCAAGTCAAGCTGCTGAACAGCAGCACTTGAGCACAGGTACTTAGACAGCAATCAACATATCCTTTGGCATATGCAAAGGGAATTTCATCGTTATACAAATGAGATTTTCTCCTGTCAAAGAGCAAGCACGTTGGACTGAGTCATAACAGAAGCTTTGATCTCTTGATTCTGGAGGTGGTGCTCTGGCTTTGAATCCATTGCCTCTGTTTGTTTTGGTTATAGAACAGGTTCTTATTTTTCCATATACTTATATATTTAAAGAATCTAGGTGAAACATCTGGCTTTTAGCAAAAAAAGAAAAGCAAGACTGGAAAATTATTTGATTTTTCATTGCTATGTATGAACATTTTAAAAAATATCAATGAAAAGATCAATGAACTGGGATATTACAAACAACTCTACAGACTGGGCTAAAAGTTGAATACATGCTAATGAAAGAACAATCTCCTTTTATTCTCTTCCCATGTAGTTTTCATGTAGATTATCAAATTCAAGGTCAGGCAAGGTCTCATCCTATACCCTGTCTCTTGATGTTGAGAAAGCCAAGCACCTTGTCAGCCTGGTTGGGCCCCAAAATAGGGTGGACCCATTTAAAGGTGAATTACCTCACAGAGACTGACCACTTCTGTATTCATCAAAAATTATTCAGATTATTCTGATCTGATTTGGTGTAGCAACTGCTCTGTCTTTAAGCTTTCTGCAGTTTACTCACCCTTACATATTCACTGTTCTTCCAAAACTCTAAAAGTCACTTTTTCTAAAAAAAAAGTTCTGAACTTCTAAAAATTTCATCTTTGTAGAAGTGCCTGCAGTAGAAAAGGGTGGATGGTGGGCTCCAGCAGTGCTCTGTCCTCTTTTCTTCTGCCTTCACACTTCTCTATGTGAATAATCACACCCACATTCAACAATCATTTCTATCAATGCATTTCTCCCTCAGTTTCTTTTTGTGCAAAAAGCAATCTCAGCAAAGAGTAATGGAAACATGTTGCTTAACAGGCAGCTAATGTGTGTTTAGGTATATTCTGGTCAGTGGCTGGTTGAAAATTCTTATCTGTGATACTTGCAGGGTAGATTAACCACAAAATTCTTCACTCATGGCAGTTTTTCCAGTCTTAACTAGAACTAGAATTTTTACAGTGAGATTCCTTCATGATCTTAGATTCGATATTTTCTCATAAAGATGAAGCTGCTTTGTGAAGGGATATGTTCTTCACAGGGACAATGTATTTGGAAAGTGACAAGGTATCTTAAAAGAAAAATTAATGAGGGGGGAATGCCTTCATACATTTATTTTAAAACATCACTCTGTGTGCATCTGCATTATTCTACATAGTTATCTGAATATTTTGAGGAATGAGATTCAATTCAAATACTTTGATGAGTAATATCTTCTCATATTTGTCTAAAACTTTAATTTTATTGAATAGCAAGAGTGATGAAAGTGTTTTCCATAATAATAACAATGACAAGGGCCTTATGATGAACTACAATTAACTCAGTGATTCATCAGTTAGCTGAAAAAACTTCAGCGCATCCTGACATTTACTGCATTTGGTTGTGATTAACAGTCTTTGAAATGTCACAGAGTTTTATTTAATTGGTTATGATTTTTTTTTAAAGGTAATCACTACAAAGAGTGCATTTGTCACCAAAAGAGATAATTGCAGTTGTCACATGACATAGTAGGTGCCCAACTACTGTACCAAGCACTTCTATATTCTTACACTGTATAATGCACACTGCATAAACAGAGGATTGGAAAGAATTTGGAAGTGGATTTTTAAATGTGCTTTTCAAAGACATCAGTATCAACCATCTTCAAATCTTAACAACCATAGCAAATACTGAAAGGTAAATTGCAAGGGAAAATCAACTGAGTTTAATTGGTGTAACCCCTGAACCATTCTAAAATCCAACCAGAATCTTAATAGACTATTTGTGCAACACAAAGCTTTCTCTTTTTTTTCCTATCCTACCTGCCCCCCTTCCTACTCCTTTTTTTTTTCCTAGTGTAGAAAAGACATCCTTAGCTAACTTATAGTTCACAAGAATAGATTTCTGACACATGAAGGTCACATTCTGTATAAAAAAGTGGGAAATGGTTTGCTGTACTCCTTTAAGGAAAGATTAAGTAGCTTTTTTTCTAGGCTATGCTGCTTAGCAGAAACTTCCAGAGACTGTTGATATGCCTGAATATAATGGAAAAGATTTTTATGCTGGCATTTCTGAAAGTTTATACGCAAGAAGGCTTGAACCTACTATATTTCCTTTTATAGTATAAATAGAAATAGTCAATATAGCACCTTGCATAGATCTGAACACATGCAGCACAACCCATCATGACCTTACAGATCTGTCTCATGGGTACAATTCAGTACATGGGATATCAGTTCCCCTTACTCTCAAAACTACTTTTATTTAATGAGATTTTTATACCAAATTTATTGTTATCACTTCAGTTGCCTCTCACAGATTTTACAACAAAATAAAACAAAACAATTCTCATTTCAGGAACTCTTGATCACTGTCTGTAACGTGAAGCTTTTTTTCAGTTTTTCGGTTTACACAGATTTGGAGGACCAGCACAGAACAACTCTTGCATTGAGGCTGGCTGCTATTTACTGTTGTGTTTCTGGTTCCTAAGACTATACTTGGTGCCCACAATTCTAATAAACTCTCTAAAATAACCTAGAGTGTTCTTTACTTCATGCACCTTTTCCCATTGTCATTTTTGGTACGCTCCACATGAAGGCATTAGTTCCACACTGTCTGGCTGAACACACGAGCCGTGGGTGGAGGAAAATCCTCCTTTTTTTCATTTTAGGATTTTATGCCTGGAAAGGAATTGATCAATATTGTCCTTCAAGATGAATGCAAAGGCATTAGAACCAGTAATTATTCTATAAATGTACACTATAAAGGCAGGCACACTTGTCAAGAAAAACCTTCTGGATAATGTTCTGGTTTGAGGTCTCCTTTGCAAGGTGCCTCCTTCAATCAAAAGATAGTTTGCTACTTAGTTTAGATGAGATTTTTCATCTTCCAGCAGACTAACAGATTTTAATATTTTTTCCCCCAAGTAACTTAAGGAAGAGGGGGACAGGGGGCAGAGGAAACAAAAGAAAAAAAAAAAAAGGAAAAAAGGGATAAGCTACCTGTATTTGTGACTGAAATTTTTCTTTCCAGAACAACCCTGGTAAATATAAGTGATAATAATAAAGTTTCTAAAAACACTATTTGGTCTAGTTCAATCTTTATTTTATAATCTACTAATTTGTGAGTTATGACTATTTTTTCTGAATTCTTAAAATCCAACTGAGGTTAGTTAGGATGCATATTAATTCTAAAGGTACGGAATTAAGATACAGAATTCATTACTGCTACTGTTCACTTTCCTCCTTTCTTTCCATGCTTTTTTCCAATGAACATCTCCAAGAAAGCATATAGTCAGCTGAGTTAAAATGCTGCTAAAGTTGTCCTTTGCTGAAACGCATGGACTGACAATATATTTTACTTTTGCCAGAAATGACAAGAAAAATCTCTCTGAAATACACCACATAAAATCACCATAACCCCTAAGACTGATGTGCACCCTGTGAGCAAAAGCAGGCCCTGCACTAGATTATCTCCATGATCATGATGTTCACCTCCTAGAGACTGTACTCCTGTTTATAGGCATTATTCACAGGAATGTTATCAGAAAGTTACCTGCATGTTTTTGGCAGACAAATAGTTAAAACAATACCTTTGAGCTGGTTCGACAAAGCTTTATATTTCTCCCTCTATCTTAGAGCATTTCAGAAGTACAAAAGTGTTCAAGTAACTTCCTTTATATAAGCAATAAATGATAATTGTCATGCCAGAAGTCAAACCTATAAACAGTAATTTCACAACTCTAATAACAGTGTATTCTCAAAGTGTTTATAAATATACAAATTCGTGTCATTCTCGAAATATTAGCTCTTCCAAATAAAAAAAGAACAAACTGTGAAATTTGCATGTTACCCTGGTATTTTTTAACACATAGAACAGCTGCTGAAATAAACCTTATTTAATGCACACATGTGTGTATAGGTGTATATATAGACACAAAATACATCAATATAAAACATACACATTAAAAAATGTACATTTGTTTATATATTCCACCACATATAGATTATACAGAATTCTTGTTCTATGGATAATATATTACTACCATCACATTTTTGAGTTCGAAATTATTATTTTAAAACTGAAACTGCTAAACAGCAAGAAAGGTGTCCCCAGTGTAAATCTGAAAAGCATGAACTTACTTCATTGAGCATGTTGAAAGCTTCATTTAAAGCAATGTCCAGCATTCCAATTCCTTTTGCAAAAAGTTTGTCAAGGTGTTCCCTGAAATGCTGAAACATGAACAAGAAAGTTTTCCTTGTCAGGATGTTGTCACAACATACTTGTTGATATCAATGATTATTTCTGAATACTTTAAACCTACTTCTTAGGTTTAAATGACTGAATACACCAGCTCATAAACCAAAATTAATCCTTTTGGACTCTTGAAGTAACACCAAACTAAGGATGTGTTAGAACAATAATAATGCAAAGGTTACACAAGATACATTTTTAGCTACTTATTCAATCAAGCAATTTTTCCTTGGTTGATTTTATTTTTTTGTGTTTCTCTTTAGTGTTATCCATATCTTCTTCTCACTTCACAATATTCTTTCAAACTATTATTCCATTGTTATCACAAGGCCTATGAATTATCAAGAATGAACACGCAGCATAAACAGATTATCTAAAATTAATACTAAATTATATAATCTCTAGTGTATAATTCAGTTCACGTGATCAGTCAGAAGAACAAACATTTTCTCTCACCATAACTCTATTTATACAAGTTCTGAAAAGTATACTGTTGATATGTGAAGAAATACAGTAGTGCCGTTTTTTTGATACAACACAGTAAAAGTGGTAAAAAATTAATCCATGCATTATCAATATTTAAAAAAATCAATGTTTTCTGCCTCCAGGCTTCAGAGTGGACAGATGTTACAAGGTGATTCTGCAAAAGGTTAAAAAAAGCCCAAATGCACGTGTGGTTTGGTCTTTGACTGGAGGGGTTTGTAGTTTTTTATTTGTTTTTTTTTTTAAACCAAGTCCATTCTCTGCCTTATCTTCATTTTTTTTTTGAGAATTTCAGCACTTTATGTCCACTGGAAAAAAAAAAAGAAATCACAAAACATGCAAGTTAACATTTCTTTGTTTCCCTACCTTATCATACCAGATGCCCTCAATGTGTGGCATTAACTGGATTCATGCCAAAACAAATCATGTCTTATTTCACAGGCAGCACAAAGAATGGCTTAATCAGACTGTTCACTCTACATCTGGCTCACGATGTTTATTAGCAAACAATCAAAATATACTGTTGTGCTTTCAGAGAGGCTGCTTGTTTACACTCTCAAAGAGTGGTACCTTATTGTGACTTCCAAGGGTGTACTATTGACACAACTATAACCTGTCAGGCTGTTGTTTTAAGGAGAATCTGTAAGGAGAAAAGCTCCAAATTTCAAAAACACATTTTTTTCCCCATTTCAGACATGTCCAGGCAGTACAACAATGCTCTGCCAGTCATGTTAAAGTGCCCTATTTGGTACTGGGAAAGGCATTTTAAAAAGCATTGCATTAGTTGTGTATGAGAAAAGCAAAGTTTCAAACTAATATTCTTCTCAAAATTTCTCTACAGATTGCCCACACATGTCTCCAACTCCCACTCAGTAATTTCATCCATTACAAAAGCACTGCAAAACAGAAAAGTGTATTCCAGCCCTTACAGTAGTGAAAAAATGTCAGGGCAGGACATTAACCACTGAAACATCAGTTTGAAGTAAAAGGGATTTCAGAATGAGATAAAAAAACACCTCAACTCCACTTTCAATAACTTTCAGGAACCAAACAGATCCCCAAACCCAGGAGTTCCCTGCTCTTAATGAGTCAAAAAGCGTATTTTAAACTTTACGTTTTAAAGAGCTCTTTTTAGTAATAAATTGTACAATGTTGGTTCATCTCAACTTCTCTTTACTATCCTATTGGAGCCCTTACAGACTAATATCTGAATTTCCTATAGTCTGACTTGGATATCTGTCCAACTGTGTGCACAATCATTGCTGGGCAACTGTAAGTCTAATTTCCATGTGCAATACCAGAATGTGCAATATCTAATTGTGGACTCATATACCTAATTGACATGCATAGTCTTGGTAATTCTGAATGCAAATTAGGCACACAATTATGACAATCAGCCACTGATGTCTGATTACAAAATTATAGGGTCAGAGCTCAACAGAAGTTGTGTCTTATTGCAGTGAGGAAGCACAGACACGTTCAGCCGTGGAGGTATTGATGATGTGGAATGTCTGAAAAACATGAGATGAAGAGAATGAGGATACAAATCCACTTGTGCATGTCAGCCAGGACAATTCTTTGCATGTACCTACCAGGTTTCAAAGTAGAACAGCAGCAATGCACACACTTGTTCTTGTGCCCTTGTGTGCTGCTGTTTGTTTCTAAACACTGTCCACTGTCAGAACCACAAAGTCCCAGTGAGCCCAACATCTGATAAGAATCTGTGTATGCAAATCTCTTTGATTTGCTTCTCTCCTATTTGTTTTTACAGTAAACTTTGTTAGGACCCTCTAAGTTAGAAGCAAACCAACAAATGCATCCGATGGGCCTGGAAAAAGGAAATGGGTTCCTGTCCCAGGTGTAGTTACAAATGTGCCTGTTTGAAGAAGAATGGGGTTTACTGAACGGGGGATACTGACAGTGTTTTTCTAAAGAAGAAAAATCATATTCTCACACCTATTTCTGCTTAAGACACATTTTATTTTAGCCTACTTACAATTATCAAAAAATAAGGTACCACTTAGGGTAAGTTAGAATATCCAAATTAGATGGGATTACAGGACCACGGATTCAAGCCTATGAATAAAGTACTTTCCCCTGATTCCAAAGAGGGAACAGTTCACAACTGATATGTGCAGCAGAGATTATACAGTTACACTGGAAAATCACAATATTTGCTATTAATTGTCTGAAAAGGGGGAGCTTCCTCCAGAAAAGCATCATTAACGGGTTCAACATTGCTCCAGATTTGTTTGTCAGTTTTACTGCAAGTCTTTGCTATTAGTTTCCATACTTATCCATGCATGCTGTAACTCCAAATATTCCTGAGACATACTTGGCAAAGATTTATCAGATTTGTGAAGATGGACCACACCAGCATATAAAGCAGGAAAGAAAAAAAACCAATCAGGAGGCATGTGTGAGGTGGGAGAGTGATATTTACTGGTGTGTCACAGGCAAGTTTACCCACACGTGCTAACAGATAAATGTGCATCACATCCATAAAATGCATTTAAGCACCATCCCATTTAAAACCCACTGCCAGGGCAATTCCAGGTTACCTTGCTAGTGATAATTATCCAACCACTTCTGTTTCCTAATATGTTGTGTTGGAAAACAGGATTTTTTTCATAAAAGCAATCATAAAACCAATGCTGAACCAAAGAGTTCAAGATTCAATATGCTCACATTAAAAATAAATTCTCCTTGAGCAAATTGGTTGCTGCAATAGAAAACTTCAGACCAAATTTCAGTGCTCTGGGGCTAACTGAAAGATTTGGAGGTCTACAATGGCTAGACAGTTTTAAAAAAAGAGTAGACTTCAGTGAGACTTTACTGTTTGGGGCTTTTTAACAGCCAAGCAATGCTGCTGACAACCTTTTCTTGAGATCTGACAGACATGGACAGCTAAATATGCAAAAGTAATTTGCTTAAATAAAATTCAATATGCAAAATTTGTATTTACCAACCTCTTATTGGCAATTTCACTCAGCTTCTTTGCTGAATCAGTCTTCTGGTTATTTAATTTCTGGTAATTGCATAGAAAAATAAAAGCCCTTTGGAAGTTATACACTACATCTGTCTATTTTTGTCATTTGAATTTACACTGGGGTAAGTTCTTGATTTAGTTTGGAGTTACTGTGCCTATCTGTGCATCTAGAAGATGATATATTTCATCTGGAAACGTTTACAGAGAAATGTCCTCAACCCATATATAGTACATTAAAAAAACATATAAAAGAGGAATGTATATTGTAATATTGTTACTTTAAATCTGGAGTTACATTAAATCAGATTGTCATCCGACTCCTTTGGGGTAGGTAAATTGTAACATGGAGTTTCTCAAAGATGAAAACCTCTTGGCCCAAGAAAACTGGTATTAAAATAGGCAGTTCCACATGTTTGTAATTTGTGGAGAAAGTGCAGACGGTGACAGAATAGTGTCTGAACTATTTCCCACTCTTTTTTAAATTTGTGTATAGCAAATTGATATACTTCAAGGCACCAGCTGTTTAGTGCTAATGCCAAATTATAAAATAGTCTGGTAAAATTCGAATATACCTTACATATTTTATATTACTAAACCACATTTAGGTTCACAGACTAATTTCAACCTCAGTTATGCTACCCAATGTAATTACACATTTAATTCTTGTGATAAATGAAACTTCAAGCAAGATCTGCAAATTAGGGATAGCTTACAGTATCCACAGATCTAAACTGAACCTTCAGGGCAGGTATGTGCCAACACAGAAATTTATGACAATTGTTGGCTGGAAAAACTTAGAAGTAAGTGGAGAAACCATGACACCTGTCATATCACCTGGCGTTATAATTATTCTTAAAACAAATTTCTATATTGTCCTATTGTAAAATGAAAGCTGAAACACTATATCTTGGAAGAAATCTAGTACTGGGATGCCTACTTTGTATCTTAGTAAAAGTGGAAGCACATATACTAACACCACTCCCATCACTGTCATATTTGAAATTGCAACTTTGCGTTTTAGAAATAAAAGACAAACCTCATTCAGTAAGGTTTCCAAAAAAGAGGATGTTTTCTGAAGCTGTATCTGACAGAAATTCAAGGTGCAATTAAATCCTCACTGCTCTGAAAGCTACACACAACGAGCACTTACAGAACCAACAATTTTGCAGAAAAGTAATAAAACAATTTGATCAAAACCTGTGGAAATTTCTAAACATTTTATACTAATTATGTTAGCGTCTCCTCCTGGTGGGTTACTGCTAGTAGTAAAAAAAAAAAAAAAAAAAAGTTAAATGAAGATTTACAACTCAAGACTGCATTACTTGGTTCTTCTTTAAGCTGGTTGGGAACAGGTTTAGATACTTAGAACCCTCACACTTTCTTAAAGAAAAGCATGTTACTTGATCAACATTCTGGAGATTCAGGGCTGAAAAAAACTGTTTTCTCCAACCTTCATTTCTTTCCCATAATAAAATTACATGAAAATATTAAAATGCTTAATTACAT